ATAATTCAATGAAAGTGTGTATAGACTAACGAGCACGTGAACTGAAATACGTTACAAAACGTTAAAACATAATTTGACAGAAAACAACACTTGATAGTCGTATAGTTTGAAACAAAACGGCATCAAAACTTCATGATTGAATAAGAACTAAAAAAAAAAATCATGATAGAAAAGTTTTATTGATTCTAAATCTTATTGGCACTGATATAAATTTGTACTATAATTATTTGTACCATATTGCTATTATCATTTCATATAGTATAATTTTTAAAAATAAATTATATGTGTAAATCTAAAATATCAAACTCATTTAAACAAATTATTAAGGTGAAGTTACCTATTTCTCATCATAATTCGAATATTCGTTAATGTTTTGCTCTATAACTCATCAATTAAGGCTCTAAAAGTCTTAGATTTAGGATCCCTTGCTAGAAAAGAGAAATTAGAAACATATAGAGGCAAAAAGATATACAAGTCATAGAGAAAATGAATGAATTTGTACTTTACTAAACACGACAAAACCACCCATTTGGTACGACAAGAACCGGTAATTTTTTTAATAGCCGGTTTGGTTATGTGCTTGATTTGGCATCCCCTTCCATAGCTTCCTTTATACCATAGTCTCGCATGCTTGCAGCTATCTTAGAAAGCCTGGAGGTGATATCTCTAATTTCTAAGCCAACATTATGAAGTGAAACCGCCTCGTTCAAGATGCAAGGAAGCCTCCACCAAAGCACCCTTTCAATCCCTTTTCCCTTGCTCGAATCTGCCATGAGGATATCCTCTGCGATCGCTTTTATGCTTAATCTTTCAAGAAGCACTTGAAACGCTTCAATTCGTCTTGCAGCTGCTTCAGCTGGTCACCTATACCGAAGAAGAGCAAGGGCTCTTCCAGGAGCAACTCCCCTAGCTTATGCACTGTAACAGAAAGATTAGCCTCTGCCATTGGTCTGTTCTTGATTCACATCTGAGATTCTCCTAATCTCTACCTCCTACACGATAAGAGTCAGTCAACTGTGAACCACTTTCATGACATAAGATTCCAAGTCAAGTCATTCATACACTCATTGTCCCTTTCCTTTCTGCTAATTCAACTCTTAGTACAGCTTCCAGAAAGTTCTTTGTACTGGCCCATGGACCACCACATCCACATATGAATTTCTGTGTCACACAACCATACGCTTTGTTTTCCTTGTCACCTTTAATTGCAGCAGCTACAGTCATAAAAAGACGGACTTCCCTTTCGCTTCCTTTTCCTATGCCTTCCATCAATTCTCTTCTCTGGTCTGCTTTAGGTTCTCTCCTCTTTTATAGAGAAGCAAGCCTTGTAGCTTCCCCTGTTAGCCAACCTAGCTCTTGCTTCAGAAAGCATTTCTTTCTCATCTTCGTCCATGTCCACAGGATCAAAGGGGAGAAAATTGGCATTCAAATCCCTAGTCCTAAAGTTATGAGGTACGAGATGCCAGAGAACTCCTTTGCAGTATCAGCCGTCAATGAAGGCAATACCTGATGCCAATGTCTTCCAGG